GGGCTGCTGGCGGCTGCTGGCGGCTGCTACGCTGGCGGCTGCTACAGGCTGCTATGGGCTGCTGGCGGCGCTGACGGCTGCTAGCGGCGGCTGCCGGCGCGGTATGAAGGTACCCTCAGAACAATAAGCGCAACAATTCAGACAACGCCCCAGGAAACAGGAACGTCAATGCGGGGGTAAAAATTTAAAGGACGCATCAAAAAGCAAAACCCCGTGTTGCCAATGCTAATCCTGAAGCGAGAACTTGCAATCTGAAAAGCCGCCAAATGAAAAATTTCAAACCTGCAGCGTTTTTGTCCGGTTTTCAGCAGATTATTTTGCTTTTTTATCTATTTTACGTCATTTTCTTCCCTGATCTTTTTCAAACAACCTTCACTATTTATGACGTCAGATATTCAAATAACTCACCTTTGGCGTTCTGTCTCTGGTCTATCGAAGGTATGGCTCTATTACAAGATCAATTAGCATCGCTTATTTCATAGATAAGATTTTCGCTCAACAGTAGTGATCAATTAAGATGTTCTTACAGCTTTACCGTGACAGTACTTTCACTGATAATTATCAAAAATGGTCATACTATCTGAACTGTCCTACAAACATGTACAGAATGAGCGGGTCTACATACCGGTAGATACGCAATGATGACATTGTGCTAAAAGTTTTTCTACCGTAATCCAACAGTGATGTCAAAGAAGAGTGACATTTTTCATATTGTGAACTGAGTTGAAGCCGCAGAGCGAGCTAGCTGAAGTTAGGCACCGCCATACTTAATCTTCTTGATCCGCTTGATCCACTTGATCCGCTTGGCCCGCTTCGTGCAAAACGCGCGTCACTAATTTGCCATTTGGCGTCGCGTACAGCGTATTTGCCGTAACCATATAAAATTCATTTTTACCTACGCGGCGCCAAAAGACAAACTGCTGTAAGCGCGCGTTTTCCACGAAGCGGATCAAGTGGATTAAGAGGATTAAGTATATCAGGTGCCTTATTAGTGAAAGATGATGATATAGAAGTTTCTAGCAAAACTCTGGTTAAACCCAAACATTTTTGGGTCAAGTATATCTGATCTCCAAAAGATTTCTTTGTCTTAGAAGTAGGAGATTCTACAATATCAAATGCACTGTGCTGATGAACTCAACCCATTCATGGTTACCATGGCGTCAGTTTCGTTGAAATCGAATGATTAGTCACTTCGCTTCGAACACAACCGATAACGACTTGCATCTGGTGCTGATATTCTTATAAAATCGCTGAGCGTACAGCTCACTTATCGCTACTGTTATCTTTTCGCTTTCCGCTCACGCCGACTGTTCAGTGTTTAAATATTCTAGAACTTTCTTGATTTCAACTGCAGGAGTTGTTCTATATTTATGCAATAAGCAATTACTTTTACACAATTACTTTGTAACTACATGAGCCCAGGAAAAACAAGGTGAAGTACGCAATAAATCGACTCAACTACAATTGGACTTGGAGAGATTTGTGATTAGCTTTGAATATAAATTAGCTGCACTTTATGTCTGACCATAATGCGTATCAAATTGTTCTTTATGACAGAGAGGGGGTGGAGCAGCAAATTTTTCTCCTCCTCATTCACGTTCCATGCTCATGGGGGCAGAGCTTTGCTCAGCTGCGCAATATCGGTCTGATCCGACTGTCATCGCTAAAGTTTTCCTTAAAATCGTTTATGGAGCAATTCGATTACAGAATCATTATAAATAAATACTTTCAAGAGTGATCTTCCTTTGATTGCCATGAAACCTTTTTAAATTTTTGTAAGCTGAAACTCCGATTGCGCTCTCAAATAAAGTCATAATGTAACTTTTGAAGAAACTGAAGGAAAGTTTCGAATTTGCAAGATATTGTAGCACTGCTAGTATTAAGTGATAGTAAAAGAAGAGGGATCATGCTCTATCACGTTGGCCCACAAGTCTTGCATCAAAAATTCTTTGAAAGAAAAATTTAGAAGTATTTTGAGTAATTAAGTTTTCTTTTTTCAGTAATGGATATATTCTTTTCTAAGTCTGTTTTCTGCCTGGATATCCGGTTATGACAATAGTTCCATCGGTGACAGAATATATAACCAGGTAAAACGCGAAATTGTAAGAATTTGAAAATTAGCAGATTAGCAGAGTTTTCTTTGATTTCGAAACTAGAGTGAAAAAAATCAAATCACATTCCTAATCACTAGCAACCGAAAAAAAGAAAATTGGCCATTATTTTCCATTAGTTGGATTGTGCGATACATTTGGTCTAAAATAACCTTTGATTCAACTGGCTTGGCTTCAAGAAGGCGGGGCTTTGTGACTTAACCGAAGCCGCTCGCGCCCGTGACGCACCTGCGTCTCTCTCGCGCAAGTGCTCTCTGACCATTACTTAGCCTTAATTAGGTCACGAAGCCATGCCTTCCCAAAGCCAAGCCAATTGAATCAAATGGCACATCGAATGAAAAAAAATTATTTTTACATTTGTTGTAATGCTTGGTACAAGACTCATGAATAATTTTTCTGCAATTTTCAAGATAATTAGCTCTTCGAAACCTCCTATTTTTTTTATCGAAATAATGACGTGGATGGGTTCCTTGTTTATTGTTTCCCAGTTTTTCTCTCCATATGTCATTACTCATGCGATCACCTGATGGAATTTTTTTTGTATTCTTATCACACACTCTTTAGCGAGAAGAAGGTCAACGTTTTTTTGTATTTAACTGAAAAGCAGCTAATATGCTTTATGTTTTGTCACCAAGGATTAGCCCGAATGTGTAGAAGAATAGAGCTGCATGACATTATACAAGGCTCCACCCATTGCCGGATAGGAAACCATTATCAAACTTTGTTTCCATAATAAATTGTCTTATGCGGACTGTCCTAAGACGTGAACACTATTTTATCGTCAATAACTCTTTTTCTTTCATGTCTTTTCCGAGCTTGAGGCACCATTCTGTAGAGCGAGGTTCAACACAGGTCTCTAGTATGGAGCAAATTACCTTCATTGCTGTAGGATTACGGTACGAACTTTCAGCATACGAGCTAGTATGGTACAGCTCTTTTAGTCAAGAAAATTCCAAGTATCTGGAAAATTGTGCAGCAAAGTTTTCAGGCGTGCTCATTTTACTACACAACTTCTTACCAGTTCTCCGAGCTTCTTTAGTGGTGTAATCATTTCTGACGAACATTGGAAAAACGGTTGTACCATAAACCTGAAATAACCTATAAAATAAGCACTACAGGGAAGTGCAACTTTATATTTAGTATTAGCAGCTTCGATTAGCTCAGTATACAAGAGTCTCTGGCTTGTTTGGTTTACTTTCTGAGGCGAAATGTCGCTTTCAATGATCTCAAATCTTTCTTGAAGTTCTTACCGTAATCCTACAGTAACGAAGGAAGTTCGGAAATTCGTTCCATGTTGCATATCTATGTTGTACCTTGCTCTACAGAATGGTACCTAAAAGTCGGCGAAAGACATTTAAAGCAAAAGACTTATTGACGATCAAACAGTGTCCACATCTTTTTGGGACACCCTACATATTAGACTGGTCCATAACCAAGACGTTTTCCTTACCTCTTCTTTCAAACCCTAGTTTCTTGTATGTGTCATTGCTTCCGTAACTCACATCGTTCATCCCGAAGTTGTGAGCCTCCAAAAATACGAGACTGTATCTCGATAATCTTACCTTTCACGCTGTTCTACATCCAGAAATAAATGCCCAATCAAACCCTCACGCATAGCAACTGTGAAGTTTTGTTCACAAAATACTTTATTGAAATTTTCAAAAATTCTTAGCAGTTCTTAGCAGAGGAATCCCATCGCAAACTTGGGTGGCCGTGAGGAATCAAAAAGGGATTAAGTAATTTCGCATTAAACAGCAAGTGTAAGCATAGTTCATTTGATGTTAAAGCGGGTCTTCTCACTTTCCAAAGAAAAAATTGAGAATTATTAATCAGGCCGATTTTGTTGGGATGCCAAAAAAGTGATGCGACTTTTCGCATTATATTTTCTCAAAACGAAATTCGTTCAAGCTTACTACCACACAACTCACCATTTGCTAAACGATGAGCAGTGTACGTTATCCTGCTATACTGCAAAGTAAGGTGCGCTTTTTTAACGTGAAGGTTTTTATAATGAAAAGTCTTTGGCGCTCTTCAAGCTAGAAAATGTTTCCTGTAATTTTCGCAGTCATACAAAAGTACGTGTTGTATAGCCAAAGAGTTGCTGTTTACAGCAGTCTTCACTGCGTCCAGAAAGATCGTTCCAAAAAATTTTACTTTGCCCAATGAACTGAAAATCTGCAGTAATTACACGGATCAATCTAGTATTTTATCGGTACAAAAAATGAACTTACTGTTGATACGGTAATTTCAAATTTGTCCTTTGTTTTTCAAGGCACAAACTCCTTGGCACATTGTTGACCGTCAGGTTAAAGTTTTTGGAAGGAGCAAAACAATTTTTGAATAAACGAAAGCGACTTTATTTTGAACGCTTCTTGGATATCCCATATGCATATGTAAAGTTTAAGAATTGGAATCTTTTACGAATTAACAAGACGTAAAGTTCATGATTCTCTCTTGAATGACTCTTGCTCTAAGAGCTTCATCCATCTTGTTGTCCCAGCTTTTTCGGAGTGTTGTCAACTCAGTTGTTTTTTCAGCCTTTTCTAAAGCTACTTGCTATGTGAGACGTAGTATGCACGTTGCTTTCGTCGGCAAATTTCATGATCCTTACATAAGCAAACTTCGTGTGTGACTGTTCGTGTTTGCTTGACAGGCACGGAGATGCTCTTATTCATCTCCTTGGCGCTCTTTCATGAGCAAGAGCATTCCATCCTTTTTTTAGAAAAACCCAAACCGCTTTACCAAATTTTCTGGATTTATTCATCCAAATAAATAATGAGGACAAAAATCTATGAAAATGCTGTAAATTTCACTACTCTCACTACCCCAGGCAGTCTCTTTTCGTTCTATACGTCAGTGCTCAATTGGATTTTTTTCACTTCTAACCGCGTTTCAGCAGCCGAGATCCGTAGCCGCTGCTATGACGGAAGCGTTATGAAAGACGAAAAGGAGGCGTAAAAATATTGGAAAAAGTAATAAAGAGTCAGTATTTTGACTTCGTACTGCGAATTGAAAAAGTGGTGCATTTTAGTGATCAAAAATGTGAGAACCATTATGACCTTTCGATAATTTACTCTGAGACTTTTCTCAAGATTTTGCAAAGACATACTCCTTAGCACTAATAGATAACGAAGATCAAGATTTAAAAATACTTACCACACCCAATACTCAAAAATTCCGTTTTTGCTAATTAAACAAATCAGCTGCAACCTGACCATGTTTGGCTTATACAGCTGTTAGATATATATAAATAAGATGGTTTGAGCCTTGGCCCACACTACAGTAAGCTATGCTCACAGACCTTCAAATTTATTTTTGTAAAACTGACTATAACCTAGAACAAAGTGCAATGTATCATAAAATGAGTCATCATCTGTTTTTCGTTTCTATAGGATTACCGTATGGAATTTGCTGAGGATTTATAGCTACAGTCTCCAAATAATTAATAAGGATTGAAAGGTGCTTTTAATCTAATATGACTAAGAAGAAGAAAGTAGGTTAGACTGATGACGTTTGCGCATAGAGCTATTCTACTTTATGCATTCTGAATTTTTGAAACCTTTTCTAAGGCAAAATTTGGCAGTGTTAATTCTCTTTGAAATTTGTACCGTAATTTATGGAGTTTAATGAAAACGATCGATTTATGTCTTTAAGTGTGTAAAATTCATTCTATGACTAGGAGACGCGAGACCGCATTGTACACATTTTCTAAACAAGCCTAATCGTGTACTTAACAGGTTTATACTTGTTATTTAACTCGTCCAGGTTCATTCACTTTCTAGAAACAGGGAGGAACAAACTCAAACTTGTTAAGACAATGTCAGCAATGCGGTCTCGCGTCTCCTAGTCATAGAATCGATGATATTCAATGGAGCTCTCTACATCTCTATCTCAACCCCACTATGACGTATACCTAAGTCAGTATTCCAGTCCTAAATAGAGTTTTGTTGACGAGTAAAAGATCAATTTGTGTCCTCAAACAGTACGCAGAGATAAACTTACATACAATATGCATAAACCCGTCCTGTTAATCATAATGACCTTTGCTAGCAGAGTTCATCAAATGGACTTGTCACCTATCTTTTTTCAAGTTATAGGTTCTGCAAAATACAAAGTACAGCAGAAAGCGAGTTTTATTCGCTATAAGTTATCCGTCATTGATAGATGTAATGACTAATAAATCAGTCAACTTGGCAAGTAACGGCTGATATGTATTACTAATAAATGTTGCACTTTTCGGTATAAACGTTACTGTACATGTGACTGGGACAGTTTATGAAAAGTTTGCGTCATAGCCAAAGGATTCAACTTGAACATTTTATTTGCATTGTTCGAACCCTCGTTAGCACGATTCTGCCAAAAGAATCTCCGAATCGAAGAGAATCTCCGCAATCTTTGCTTGTATTGGTCGGTTTTGTTCATTTCTATAAATTTGTCCCAAAAGTAAACTCCTTTCTCGAATAAATCGAGCTGGTTTTGTTTTTCTAGCAGACTTGGGTATCAATTGAAAGAGTAAAGCAATCTGTACAAAACGATTACCAAAAATCTGCCTAAGCCTCACCCCATTAAAGTTTAAAGACAAAATCGAAAAAAGATTTATCACCTTGGAATTGAATTTTTGCAAAAAAAAACCGTTCGGACCTCAAACTCAGCCATTATGCAGTAGACACATAGTAGAACTCTAATAAGCCTTTATTGGATTTTTCCGCGCTGGAAAGCGATAAAAAAGTCCAAAAAAGGCAAATTCCGCCTTCAGCCCCTCCCACATATGTATCGTACACTACAGGGCCTAGTAACTATAACCATAAAATTTCACCTTTGTCTTTGCTTTGGTAATTGAGAAATACCATGCTCGACATGAAAAATTCAAAGAAGTGAATTTTGGCATTTTCAGACCATCTTTGTTTCTTAAATTTGAGCTTCGAAAAAAATCTTGGACATTTTCGGGTAGGGCCATGTGTATACGGTATGCCGACCAAGTTTGAGGTCCGTATTTCCTGGAAGTGGATCCGCTTTTCAGGGTAGCGGGAAAATCTTAATTTTTGGCTCCAAATTTCGCCTGGATTACGACTTACGAGATTTTTGGTGGTCTTTTTGTAGAGCTTGCACCGTTCCATTAAATGGTACCCTAAGTCTATTAGAAAAGTAAAAACAGCTTAATTTATTTGAAAACGGAGTTTACTTTTGGAACAACCTAATAATTCTAAAAATGGAGCTTGACAATGTTTTAGACAAACAGCCATGCATTATAGTCACTTGTATTCTTCATATAAAACCCCCTACTCATTGTCAGTGCAGGCGGAACTGGTTCTCTTTTTAAGCTGATGCTAATCGTAGCAGTTTTGCCGTGACTTGCAATGGGAGTTTTTTCATGCAAGGCTGCATCATTTTATCTCCATTCGATAAATTCTTTACTGATCCAAGACATTTTTCATTACTCAGGAAAAGATGAAAATTCCACATGTATTAGGTTGATTCATAATTAATGCACGTTTTTCTCACCTTTTCTTCCAGGAGCTGGTATTTGATGTGTAATCAACTTCCTCAAAAACTTTTTACGCTATCTAAAAGAGCGTTTCTTCTAGTTTCTTACGTGTCCCTTCGCTTTCGTAAATCTCAGTTCATTCCAAAGTTCTGAGCCTTCAAATAAAAGAAACTAAATCTCAAAATCTTTGCTTTTCACTCTTTTTGCCCTGAATCCATTAGGAATAGCCGGATTAATTTCAAAAAATATGTATAAGGATTAGAACACTTTGTGCTACAAGATGCTATTTGAACAAAATCCTCCATGAATTCTGAGCCGAGAAAATTAATTGCGAACTTGAACGATCGTCGCGGCCCTTCCGTGCCATATAAAACTTTGAAGCAAAAAGGTGACTGCAGGTCTTTTGCACTATCCAGCAAGGGTAACCTAGTTCATTTGATGGTAGAATAGCGGTAGGGTTTTCTCACCTTTCAGCTGAGAAAAACGAAATAATTTCAAAATGACCGATTTTTGAACCCGCCGAGATGCCAGAAAAAAGTGAGTGCTTTCGACTTTTTCGCAATATTTTCTTTCAAAAATTTCCCGTTGAATCCAAACTTGGCATTACTGCTCAAGAGACCTTTGGCTACAAGAAGAGCGAAGTCTGCTTTATCCTACTTCATTTCAACATAAGTTATGCTCTCTCAAAATGGATGCTTCCGAAAAAAGTTGTTGGCAATCTTCAGGTCAGAAAATCTTTCTTGTGATAGATACAGTCACGCAAAAGTGTCTGTTCTATAGCCATTGATTTGATGGTTACAGTAGTTTTTATTGCGCCCGGATATGTCTTTTCAAGAAAGAATTATCTCGGTTGAAAGTTGAAGTATAGAAAACGTGCATTAATTATGAATCAACCTAATATATAGACCCTAAAATTTATTTCATCGGGTTGTGTCAATGTTGCACGCATGTTAGTGATCTTTGCTTGAATACGCGTTCTTTATCAAGCCTTTGTGAATTTTGTTTACAAAACGGCTATTGCGATAATTTCACATATGATCAGACAAGACAAATATGGCTTATTAGGCTACCCCGCACAATCTTGTAGCAAACCTTTTTTTCAATGTTCATTTTGCACTGAAAAATATTGGGTAGAGAGCCATCAGCTTTCTGATGGTGCCTATTGCAATAAGTGTTCTTCTTCAATAAAAACTGGAAGAAACACTTATAATTCGTTTTATTTTTGATTGCGGAATGCTGAGAGTCTTTTTTTTTCATTTGGTTGTGTTGTAACATTCTTCCAGACAAAAGAATTGTGCTGATCGCATGTTATAATTTTCGAATTTTCCTTTTTGACTTTTCCATTTTTTCATTTCGTACCGGTGGAACTTTTAATGCATCGAAACACGGTATTTATCATAGTCAAAAACCTAAAACAAACATCTAACCGTCGCTCTGGACATTCCTAGAGTTTTTTAACAACTTCTTGGCTAGACCTGGACGATCAAAGAATTATGCTAATGTTTACATACAATATCATTCGATTTATTACTTGTGTAAACTTTTCCTCGACAAAAGAACCTAGCATGGACAAGTTTTGATATGAATGATATGCACAAATCACAAAAATTAAGAGCAAAGATCAATCCTCACAAAAAAGTCATTTTTTTATTCCTTGAAGGTTCTGTAGAAAAAACGAGCTTTTTCCACGCAAAATAGAGGTATTTTTGACAATAGAACTTCTCAAATTTCTTCTGAAAGCCAGTAAAAACATCATGCAATACAGGACAGCAATGTTTTTGCAATAAGATTTGTGACTTTTAGAATAGATGAATATATCTGCTAAAGTATTTGAAGAGTTTTTGCAATCGCGCGAACACTTTGTTTATAACCTGCTAAATTGCTAATAGTTTGCATAACTGTGATAATGCACCATTCTTTAGCATTCCACTCTAGATAAGTTTTATCTTTCCAAGAACAAGATCTGTTGAAAGTGTAAAATAGTAATAGAAGATTTAAATTGTAGCCTTTTGTGTAAGTCTTCCTTCAAACTCAAAAACAATCTTGTCCTAATGGACAAGTTTTTCTCCTGTCAAGTCTAGGGGTGTACGGGCCCTAACTTGATGTGTAGCGGTACAGGTTGGTATTATATATATTTATTATGTCAAGTCTAGGGGTGTACGGGCCCTAGCTTGATGTGTAGCGGTACAGGTTGGTATTATATATTTATTATCTACATATAGTACAATAGAGAGGAAGGGGGAAGACTGACAAAGCAGCCTTACGGTGCGCGGTCGTAGACGGTCACTGGCTCCTATCTGACCTTCTTGGCCAGCTCACGGGAGAGCAGCAGGCGGAGCTTAGCTACGTCCCGACACTCCTTTTGAACTCGAAAACAATACACACAATGTCTGTTTTGTGTTTGAAGAAAAAAAGCAAAATGAATAGGGTTGTAAAAGAATATAAAAACAGTAAAGCTACTTCGGCTCGAGACACTCGTTTTTCAAAAGTTATACATTTTTATAAAATGAAGTATAGAGGTTTTTCTATCTTCTTTAATTCACGTATTTGTCCACAGTACATACTTGACAAAATCAATAGTCACATGTTTTTAATCGTCCAAAGCTGTATGATTCATTTTATAATATCTATGACGCTATACATGGAAAAGAGATTAGGGCCTTTTTACGGTTTCAACGAAATACCTCTAGATTGCAATTCTCACGGAGTTCTCGCATTTTTTGTAAGGTTCCTGCAGTCACACTCGATTTTGCGATAAACTATTTTCGATGATAAATTTATTCATGGGAACGGGAGGATTTTACGTAAACAAGTCTAACTACATTTCCAATGCTTTCGAGAGTGGAGAAGTGTTTGTTTTCGTAGAATGACAAGAAGTAAAACTTCTTCGTTGTTATGACGGCTGCTTAACATTTCGAGGAAACCGGTTCACTCTATGCCGCTATTCCTTTAGGAACATGGATTTTGTTCTTTTTCGTGTTCCTTCGGGAAACTCAAGAAATCTCGGGAAAATCCCATTTTTGGCTCAATGAGAGAAAGACAAAGGGCCTAACACCTGGCTTATTTTTACTTTTAAGGACATATACAATAAATACGATGCAGTTCTGTAACGGCACTTCGACTTTGATTTCCTCTCTTCTTTCAACTCACTTTCCTTAACCTTCTTTTCCATCACTTTTCAAATATTCTTTGTGACTTTTGTGAGCGTCAGCACTAATACAAAGACAATTTTGGAGTTTGAGAGTAGATTTTTGAGTTTTGAAATTTTTTCGGACAATTCGTGGCAAATTTCCAGCTTGCATAAATGTGTGGCATGATGTGTGGCATGCATACAGTGAAAAGCTAACCTTTGATTGAAATGTGGGTTGGCGGCTAAAAGGCGGGGCTTTATGGGCTAATTAAGGTTTATCGCGCCCGCGACGCAGTCTGCGTCTCTCTAGCGCTCGTGCTCTCTTCATTCTCTAGCCTTGACTAGGTCACGAAGCCGCGCCTTCCAGTTGAATCAAAGGGTACAACATGATAGAGAAATGTGATAAACAAATCTCATGAGAAGATTGTTATGATTTTCTTTTTCGAGAGTAAAAAAAAATTTATGTCAGTCACGACCTAATATTATTGACCATACCCCATCAGTTCTTGCGAGATATTTATGGCCAGTGAAATTGGATCTCAATGGGAAAGACAAACAGATCAGCGTCACGGATACGACGTAGTGAAATTGAAAATGGTCCGTTGCCAAGAGAACGCTGAACTGAATGGCAATACGAGAACTCCTCATGACATCATTAGTGGCTTCATTTGCGTTGCTTAGCTGCATTTGTTTGTTGCTGAATTGAAAATTGACGTTCGGGTCCGGCTGCTCTTCTTATTTAACATTTTTATTTGACTAGAAATAAAAAGATCAAAGTTTTGTGCTTTCGTCGACACCTGCTCGTGATAAGATCGCGTTATTTATGTTCTCTTTCGGGACTTCGTTTAATGCTCTGAAAAATATGGATTGATTTCCATGTCTCTTTTCCCTGTCAATTTAAGGCCATTGCCAAAATTCGCCCTTTACGTGGTGTCAAAAATGTCATTTTGTTACTTAAAACGAAACATTTTCAGAAAATGTGCATCTTCTCAGCATGTGGTCAAATTGTCTTTGGAGTTGTGATGGTTGGTTGCTTAATACTCACAGCTGTCCCGACATTCAATGGAAGTAAGTTTTTTGCTGGGTTTGCAATACTCCCTCATCTACCAAAATCTTCCAGAGATGCTCAGATGGGATTGTGTAAAAGACATCAAGAATTGTGAGGATTTAACGGTAAGTGATAAAATTCAATTATGAAGCACAGCTGATTCAAAATCTGTTTAGGATCATAAGGGCTATATGAAAACTGTAGCGATATTCATGTGCCTGGCATTGCTGTTCGAAATAATTGCTCTGGCTTGGAATTTGTTTGTATTGTAAGTTCATAGCACCTAGTTTGAATAATAATACACAATGATACATGACGCAAAAATCTGCAAAAACTCATTCGAAATAGGAATTTGCAAACAAATCTGTGCATAAACATCATCAGTTTAACTTCCTCGATAAAAAACATAGTATATACCCTTTTGATTCAAATGGCCTAGCGGCTGAAGGCGGGGCTTCGTGACCTAATTAAGGCTAAATAATGATCAGAGAGCACGCGCGCGTGGAAGACGCAGAAAGAGTTGCGGGCGCGAGCGGCCTCAATTAGGTGACAAAGCCCCGCCTTTCAAACGCCAAGCCAGTTAAATCAAAGTATTGGGTTATTTGATGCATGGGCCGCATTGCGCCAAAAGAGGATTTTTGCGAAAACGATTAATTGCGTTAAAAAGGAAGCTGTCGCTTCATTGAATTGTAACTTCTAGCTTTCTCAGGATTTGTCTGTTGTAATGTTGGTAAGAAAAAATTAATATGGAACTCGACTTTTTACTCAATAAAGGTTGCAAAAATACATTGGAAAAATCAGACTACAAATGCATTTAATTACTTCAACCATTTCGGGTCAGGCTCCCAGAGATCTAGGTTGAATAAAATCATGTCAGCAATAGCGCACTTTTTGGGACCTAGACAATCGCCAAAAAAACTTCCGTGGCATACTGAGCTTTTAAGACTTCCGGGTGAGCTCCTATTGAAGCTACCAGGTAGGGCGGCGCCTACGCCACACGGCGTCGTCACACAGACCAATAGGGACGTCCGCCCAGGAAGTCTTAGGAGCCCAGTTTACCGAAGTTTTTTGCGATTGTCTGAGTAGCCTTTCTATCCAAGCAAAATTTGTGCTGATAAAACATCTCTAAGGGAGGATACACACGGTATCCGTGCTTCACCATTCAGCAATCTGATTTCAGCTGTGCATGTTGCTGTAAAAAGTACCTCATACATCCGCTGGCCATCCTCTCTCTCATTGCCACAGCTATGCTTCTGGTTGCGGTGATCGTCTATGGAGTGAACAACAAAGATAGTTGGAGGAGTAGGTTTCGCATACCCCTTTTCGCATACTTGACTCATTTGATCTCGGGGAAACTGCTATCGCAGGAACTTTATTTACAGAGGAGCTCGAAGATAAGGGCAAAGACCAGTACGGTTATTCATTCTGGCTGTCGGTCTGCGCTCTTGTGCTGGCCGCTGTCGACACGGTAATCGCAGCCCTAACGGTGTGCTTAGGAAAAAGGGGAATGTAGGACAGCAAAGCCTACAAAAACAAGTGATCTTTACAGATCTGACTCTATTCGTAAAAAAATAATTTGTAAAAATTCCTCTTTACATTGATTTTGCATTGGGGATAAGTTTGTGAGCAATGCAGTGACTTGAAGATGTTGCCTTAGTCATGTTTGCTTGAATTTTTCTGCAGAGCACAAAAAATTCTAAAGGCTATTCCCGCACGAAGGTGGATCGTTTATTGTCGCGAAGCGGGCGCGAACGCGGCAAAATGGTGCCTATCATCGCTGGATCGCTTAATAAACAGAAGTTCGCAGCCAATAACCGCTCGCGCGCCGCGTTCGCACACACTTACCTTATTTGGGCATTCGCCTTCGTTCAGAAGTAGCTTATGGTTCTTGTGCAGTGAACTTTATATAACTTCCTAAACTACTCTTAACTTGGGTATATTTTACGAACTCCTACCTACAATTGAAACTAAAACTCATCCAGTCTTCAAATAGTTTAAACTAATTCGAGTAAAATACTACTTTATCGTGATCACACGCCAGTCACTCTACTTTGTCAACACATATCTCTTTCACATTCTTATATTGTATGTGCCAAGTAACCCAGCCTTTATATTGTCCGCCTAGTAAAGCCTTTTGAAATCTCTTGTGAGCCTCTTCGGGTTTTGATTGTGAGCATTTCGTAGGTTAACATCGTGTGTGGCTGTAAATCATCATTTTAGTTTTTGTTGAGGTTTTTACGCTTTATCGCAATCTGTTTTAACTGTGATATGTATAAAAATTGAATGTAACAATGTTTACTTCAGTGAAGCATTGATTTTCCACAACAAGGTGTGTCATCAAGTTTACAGTGTAGATTCATGATGATCGTATAGTCTAGCTTGTAAGTGTAAAATGATCATATAAAGAATAGGTTGTAGGTGTGGTAGATTACTGCATAGATGATAATGGATTGATTACCGTTGATGCTGCTATTCTGTTTTTTGTTCTGACTGACTTTATTGCTAATCCAAAGCATCTTAACATTGCATTTCATTTCCCGTTCAAAAAAAGCAAGAAAAGTTGATTGCCAACCAATACAGGGGAATTTTTTTTATCCTCGCATGTTCCCTCATACGGGGTCTGCTGCTCTAGTTAGTCTTCTCCACACTTCGCGCTTTTCAGCTTGATGTTCACCTATCTCGAGTTCTCTCAAGTCTGCTTTGATTTTGTCTATCCATCGTAACCTTGGTCTTCCTCTTCGTCTCTTTCCAGGTACTTCGACTGACATTGCCATTCTAGCGACGTGGTCATCTGCTCTTCTTCTTACGTGTCCGTACCATCGAAGTCGCTTTTCTTGCATCTTCTTGATTATCGGAGCAACCTTCATCGTGGCTCGTATGGTATCGTTGGTAACGTGGTCCATCATTGTGACACCGGCTGTCCATCTTAACATACGCGTCTCCATCACGCTGATCCTTCTCTCTTCGTTCCTCGTACACGGCCAACATTCGCTGCCATACAGAGCAGCTGGGCGGACTACAGTTCGATACAGCTGCGATTTCAGTTTGAGCGGCATCCGCTTGTCACATAGTATTCCTGTGAGGCTTCTCCATTTCGTCCAAGCTGCATTTAATCTACTGGTAATTTCGTCTTGAAGCGTGCCGTCTGCAGATATGCGACTTCCCAGATACTTGAAGGTAGAGGTCTTCTTGATTGAAGCGTTCGCAATCTCGATAGTACCGGGGGTTTGAGTTCCCAGTTCCATATATTCGGTCTTCGTGGTGTTGATCTTCAGGCCATGTAGCTCCAGTTCGCTTTTCCACTTCTGCACTTCCGCCTCCAATTCTTTTCTGCTTCTTGCCATAACATCACGTCATCTGCGTACATCAGGACCCATGGAGGTTGACGTATGAAGCCTTTGACTATCGTATCCAGGACCGTGATGAAGAGAGTGGTGACAGTACGGAACCTTGGTAAACTCCGGCGTTTATCTTGAAGTCTTTTGTACGTCCTGCTGCTGTTTGTACATGGCTAGTGGCATCTTTGTATAGCATCCTGATCCAGTTCACGTATTCTTCAGGCACCATGTGCTTTCGCAGTGACCACCATATGACATCGTGCGGCACTTTATCGAATGCTTTCTCCAGATCGAGGAACGCTGCATGTAGTTCACACTGCATTTCTCTGCTTCTTTCCATCATTATCCTGGCAGCATAGATAGCATCTGTTGTGCTGCACCCTTTTACGAATCCACATTGGTTCGGAACCAGCTCCACGATGCTTCGCAGTCTTGATTCTAGAATTCTTTCGAAGATCTTCAGGGTGTGGCACATCAGTCGGATGGGGCGGTACAATGAACAGTCAGCTACGTCGCCTTTGTTCTTCCATATTGGTATTGTCGTGCTGCTGTACCAGTCGGTTGGGATCTTCTTGGACTCTATTATCTGATTTAGAAGTCGCGTTAGCCATCTTACTCCCGCTTGACCACATTCCTTCCAAAATTCGTTGGGGATGTCGTCGGGGCCTGTCGCCTTGCCATTCTTCGTTCTCATTATGGCGATGCGGACTTCTTCTTCTGTGATGGTTGGGACCGGTCCTTGTACAGGCTCAGCTGAAGACGTCGATTCGTATTCGTGACTTGTGGACGCCATCTTTGCGAAGTATGCTCTCCATCTTTCTTTTATCTCTTGCGGTTCTCTGAGCACCCTTCCATGTACATCCTTGATATTGCAGAAGTGCTCTACATCTTTAGCGGCGTTTGCTCTTCTCTTCGCGAGTCGGTAGATGTCTCGTTCACCTTCGCAGGTGTGAAGCTTTCTGTAGAGTTCTTCCATGTACTCTTCTTTTGCCTGTTTGACACTCCTCTTTGCTGCTCGCTTCGCGTCTAGGTACTTCTGGTAAGCATCTTCTGTTTGTGACTTCTGCCATATCCTGTAGGCTGTCTTCTTCTTCTTTATCACGATCTGTACGTCTTGATTCCACCACCAAGTTTCCTTGTCAATCTTCGGTCTTCCGGGTTTTGTGCACCCCACTAGATCACCAGCTACTTGATGGATGTTGTTCATCTCGTCCAGGATCGTTCTGGATCACTATCCAATTCTGGTAAGGCAGCTTCCATTATCGCTCTGGTGCAGGGATCATTCTTAAGCTTCCACCACTTTATGCGCACACGCTCCGTTACTATCTTTCTTCTTCTGTCGATTGGAATACGCAAATCTAGTAGCAGTGGTTTATGCTGCGGTATGCAGTTTTCGCCTGGGATAACCTTGCTATCCTTCACATACTTGAATGCACGTTGCCTTACACTCCAGAAGTCTATCTGCGACCTATGGTTTCCACTGGCGTAGGTGACGAGGTGGCTGGTCTTCTTGATGAAGTACGTGTTTGCCAACGCCAGGTCGTGGGCAGTAGCGAATTCTAGAATGCGTTCGCCTTCACCATTGATTATTCCGTAGCCGTGATTACCATGACATCTTTGAACACCACTTCGTTTCTCTCCTACGTGACCATTGAGATCTGCACCTATCAGAAGCATCTCATCCTGTGGTATCGAGCTGACATAGTCATCGAGCTGTTGCCAGAATGCTTCTTTCTCCGCTTCTTCGCATCCTGCTTGTGGTGCATATGCCGTAACCACTCGGAGCACTCTTCTTCCTGCATCTATTCTCAAGCTCATCAGACGATCACTCAGACGATCCAAGGCGGTGATTCCATTCCTGTATGTTTCGGACACGACTATGCCGACGCCATTCCTAGTACTGCTTGCTCCATTATACAGAAGCTTGAAGCCATCGCCTATGTCTCGCGCCTTCTCTCCCTTCCATTTGGTCTCTTGAATGCAGGCAATGCTGACTTTACGTCTTCTGAGTAGATCTGCCAATTCACGATGTCGGCCAGTGAGGGATCCAACGTTGATGGTCGCCAGACGTATTGTTGAAGAGAACTTTGATGTTCGCCTATGGTGAGCTAACTTCTTTGGCCGTCCCCGCTCACCTCCTTGAGACGGTAACCCTAGCATACTGTTCGCATCCGTCGGGCTCGAATGCGCGTCGCCTCCCGGGAACGCCCTAGCTTTTACACGAAGAACTTGATGTGACATAAAAGAGCATCTTGATGCGACGGGTTGTCTTCTTCAGCCGGCTTGTCGCGTGCTTCCATTGGATGAGCAGCCTGACGCTGGATTCGTGGGCAAGAGCTTTGCCAAAGAGATTAGCCTCTGCGCGGAACCGAACCCGTGACCTTCTTCGCCAGAGACAAGAGCACTAACCTCTCGGCCAACTCTGCCCAATACAGGGAAATCATCTTATACAATCATTAGCTTGCTTACCCGGCTCCGCCCGGCCCTGTGAAAACACTGTAATAAAGGTCCCATCCCTATCCCTGTACAGCCTTTCCCTGTGCCCACTTCTACACTTCATTTCCCGTTCCCTGTGTTGCTTTTGAAATCAGCATGCCCACTTACCCCTCCTGTGCCAACTCCCAGCCTGTAGCTCAAACTTTGCAAAAAATCGATAAAATCGATAAAAGTGATCGATAATCCTGAAAGGTAATATTGTATTCGGAATCCCCATGCTCGATTACCCCCTGTGCAAACTCCCAGCCCTGCAGGTCAAACTTTATAAAAAAATCGATAAAATCGATAAAAGTAATCGATAATCCTGAAAACTAATATGGTATTCGGAATCCCCATGCCTGATTACACCCCCCCTGTGCCAACTCCCAGCCCCGTAGGTGAACTCTGCATAAAAATCGATAAAATCGATATCGATCGATACGAAAAGTAGCCTATGACACCCGCCGGCCCCGAAGTGATGTGTGCCAAGTTTGGTCCGGATCGGTTCAAAAATGGAATTTTCTATTCGGAACAAACGTACACACAGACAGACATACAAACAGACATTCAGCTTTACATATAAGAAGGATGTGAGTATATACACAACGTCCATCTATGGCGTTCCCATTCCGGATTTGCAATCATAAAAATTGACACTGACGATTCTTACCGCTTATCATCTCTGCGGAGATTGGTACAGAAAGGGAAGAAAATATAAAGGAAACACCGAGAAGGATAGAGGACTATAGGTCGCCGAAAGTGGGAGTTCCCGCCGGAGTTATAGTCAAAAGTCACATTCGAAAGCAAGTCATTCGATATGCAGCATAAAATCCAAGTTTCTAATCAGTAACTAATAACCTGAAAACAGACAAATCGAGAGGACAAATAAATGCACAATTTTCCCGGCATTTTAATGCCACAAAACTCCAAAGAAATTTTGCGGCAACAGTCTCCCTAGCCTTGTAGGGGTCACAAAATAATAGAAGACAGCACATAGTAAAGGCACCGTTCATTCAGGTTGAGGCTGATGAGTTTTTAATGCTATGTTATAGCAGGGCCTCCAAGCAATCGCCCACCCACTGTAGAAGTTAAATTCGGAAACTGAAAACGCTCCAGAAGGTAGAAGAGGCCCAGGCTGCTCGCTCATCAGTGTGGGTGTCTGAGGACAGTAACAAGTCCACAATTAAGCTTTGACGCAACCAAGAATGGCATAAATCCTCCCTGTTTTTTTTCCCTATTTTATGACCAGACCTCAAGCATTTTCATGTACCTTTGGCCAAATTCGGACTTATCTTGTCACCTACACATCGCCCATGTTGACGGGCGAAGCCACCTGGGGACTACCTTCTGGAGCGGCTGCCTCGCTTCGTTAGCCTCTTTTGTAGAGGTTCCTAGGCGGCAATTCGGGTGGATGGTGCCTTATATAGGCATCTGGGTTTGAAAACATATTTTTACACCCCAAGAATGTCTAACTTTATCTAGCAGAACTGCATCAGGATCATGAACCTGGAATGTGAAAAGACATGTTTATCAGTGGAGGCTACAAAATTTCCTTCCGGAGGGGGGGGGGGGGGGAAGGGAGGGTTGACAAAAAAATTTCTGAATAAGGTGCATGGCGTTAGCCACGAACTCCGAAAAATTTTTGACCCGCCACTACATACCTACTCCGCCAGTTCGGCTACAGCGACAAATTCAAAAAATTTTACTGTGACAAAGAGGACTTTGGAAGTCTTGCCAAGCCTTGCCAACGAGTGGGCTGAAATTACAATGTAGCTCTGTTGCTAGTCAAGCAGGAAGCATCAGCAAAATGTTTCATAACATTTGAACAAAGTGGAATTCTCTTATGAATTCAAGCTTATGTAATTGGTGGCAAAAAATCTTGGCAAGACTTCCAAAGTCCTCCCTTCCCAAACTGACTGCATACGACTGATTCAACTTTGCAAGTAAGACGTCGTATGCTCACTGATCTTGATCTTTATACAGGGTGTCCCAAAAGAATGTGGACAGTGTTTGATTAATAATGACTCTCTTGCTTTGATGTCTTTCGCCGACCTTTAAGTACCATTCTGTAGTGCTGAGCTTCGATTCACAGTATTGATCAAATTATCAGTCGCTCTTCAGTAGTGTAAAATTACGGCAGGGACTTCGACAAGGAATTTGATCCATTGAGGGCCATATTTTGCTTCAGAAGAAAACCAAACAAGCAAAAGCTCTTATAAGGTAAGTTAACGAAAGCCGCTGATTTCGAACAAGAAATTTTCACTCTACTGTAATGCTTTTTTCCCAAGTTATCCCAGGTAAACCCGTAACAACTGAATCCCAGCGGTCAGAAATGTGATTACACCGTCAAAAAAGCTGGAAACACTCGTAAAAACTGTATAGTGAAATCAGCTTGCGCGAACCCTAATACGATTTTTCTGATTTTTTGAAAAAAATATATACGTAAGTCACAATAATACCTTATGCCGGAAGTTCTCACCGTAATGCTACAGTAACGAAGTGCGCTCAGTGATTCGCCCCTACTGAATGTACTCCTACTGTACTGCTCCTACTGCTCCTACTGCTCCTATGTACAATCGAAGCTGAAGCCAGCACTACAGGGTGGTATCTAAAGGTTGGACCAACAGGACCAACAGGACCAAGTTGGCACACATACACTTCGGGACGGGGTGGGTGTTGTAGGTTGCTTTTCGTTAAAGGCAGCGTCCAGGCAGATGCGGACCTATGGGGCTTTTACGTGGAAAGTACTTTTGGGGCCCTAACTAAGACATTGCCCAAGCGGCAGCTCAGGTAGTGCTGTAATGGCTGAGATATTCCGCTCGAAACTGGACCCCGCGACCGTGTTCCGCATGGATTCATGGCGCAAAGCGTGGATCCTGGCGCGAAACTGCCATGAATCCATGCGAATACGTTCGCGGGGGCCAGTTTCGAGGGGAATATCTCAGCCATTAGAGCACTACCTGAGCTGCCGCTTGGGCAATGCCTTAGTTAGGGCCCCAAAAGTACTTTCCACGTAAAAGCCCCATAGGTCCAGATCTGCCTGGACGCTGCCTTTAATGTTCGATATTGATTTTATCAGCTTTTTGCAAAGGTTGAGTACGGGGCTGGTAGTTGGCACAAGTGGAGTTAGTGAGCATACTGATTACGACTACATTATTGACAGAGCTAGGCGGAGCCGGGTTTGCCAGCTAGTATTTCATAAAGCCTATATAAGCGAACTTAGGCTTTCTCAGTTAGAGTTCAAATGAATGGTAAAATAAAGGCTGAAAGCGTCAAAATTTGGCTCTCAAAAAAAAGGTCTCTCCAGCTTAATTTTTAGCACGTCTTTCTACTCAACATCTTGCTCAAGTGCCAAGCCACGTACACTATGAGATACAAATCCCTCGCTAATTCCAGCGAAATCTAGTTCAATTGTAAAGGATTGCAACGTCAACAATACGATTGAATCCGCCCTCCGCTGAAGCAAAGCAAGTCAGCTCGAAAATGGACTTCTAGAGCCCAAATAGTAGGCAACACGGCAGCTGCAGAACGTCAACCTGTGTCCTGCCTGGGTATCACGGTTTGAAGGCACCGTCCACTCCAGGCTAGGAGTCTTGAGATTTTGATAGAATGGTAATAGGACCCCTGCCAAGCTAATGTCCAAGGCTGCCCAATCGCTCCGAAATAACGAAGTAAGCAGAAGGTGCAGCGGAAACGCCCCCTCCAGTAATGCCCGCCCATCCGTGTTCTCCCAACACAATCGGAATCAATGCACAATCACCGGCGGCCCTGAGGAACGGAGAATGTCGGAGTTTTTGAGGATTCTGGATTTTAAATTTGGAATCAGGGACACGAGAAGGCCCCAAACGACAAAACATGAAAGTCGAGGATTTGGATGGACTGCCATAAGCGCCGAGGAACCGCATTTAAGAAGAACCATGTTAAAGATTCGAAATTAGGGCCATGCAGAGGCGAGGCTTGTTAATGGCAAAAACCATGGAAGCCGGGATTTTGCTTGGACGCTGCCCTAAGGCAACTTCAAAACCGTAGTTCTAACAAAATATTAGTTGACAACCCAAGTGCTGCACAAGAATATGTAGAATGTTTGTCGCTTCTAATTTTGAAAAAATTAGATTGGCAGAAGTTTCTCTGAAATACAAAACTACAAAACTTTACACAATATGCAACAGAAGCTCCAGTACGATTAGATTTTGCACGAAAAGTTCCACATGATAGAGGCAGCCTGAATGAATTTAAAATCAGTGAAAAAATAAATAGAGATAGATTTACCTTTTAGAGGTACGCTTGATCGCAAGATTATCCCGTCTTCCATTCACAACATAACTTGGAGATTTAGGTACTTTAAAGTACTTTGCTGGGTGATCGATAAACAGATTATCTTGAAGAAGTTCAAGCTCAAGGTATCGCATCAACTTTATTCACTGCACTGCTGATCAATGCATATAATGAAGGACATATGCTGACGCAGAAAAACCATCTCATAGTGTCCCCTCTCAGAAAATTTACTTCGCTTTTGTCAAAAGATGTGCAGATTTTGAAATATCTCTCAAGATGGTGGTTTCGGGCGCAGTACGCCATCGCACATGCCAGCAGTTGCCACGTTGCTGCAAAAAAATTGGCGAAACAAATATAAAAGTTATGCTTGGAACATCACATACCGAAACTATGGTGCCTCTCATGGATGACATGTGAGACTTTACATGCGCCGTTCTTATGTACGTTTCCACAAACGCATCTTCCATAGCGAACGGGTGCTTACGTACCACTATTGAATGACCGCAATAGTCACAGGCATCGAGAACGAGCATATCTTTGTTGCTTAAAAAACTTATGATTTCGTTGTAAAAAAGGTGGGTCATTTGTTAGTATCTAATTTGAGAACTCTCACTATTTTTCCCTTGTTATTTATACAAAAATCAACAATCAGGATCAAGTGCTTTTTAATCGTTAATAAATCTCTTCCAAAATCTTTTGCTTAACTCTAACAAGGAAGGGTCACGAAGTCAAAGTGGCCTATCACCACTAGCTGCATACCGGTAGTGAAAGCTTGGAGCGCTGATCCCAAATCTACTTTCCATATCTGCAGAGCCCCTTTGGCAAAGAAGCCATGAGCATTCCTGAGACGAAAAAATGAAGAATGGCAAGGCTATAATCAATCGTTACAGCCTTTCCAGACGTCAAATGGCGAAACAGGATGGACTGATATACTAAGCAAAAGGGGGTGTATGTCAAGATTTTTGTATGTCACGATTTTTGTTGCCAGCTGGACACCAAATAGCACATAATAAGTGTTTTCTTTCTTTCAACTTTCTAAAAGTATATGAAATTTGCAAGAAGATATATTAGATAGTTGCATGAGTTGTCCAATCTTGATGCTCTAGAAAAAATTCAAAAGAGCAATTTTGAAGGTCAAAAACTCGTGAAAATGCAACTCAGAACAAATTCGTAAATATTTCAGTCCGATTTATAGCAAAAACCATGAAACTCAGCAAATGGTGACCTTAGACAGATAGTAAGCTAATGCACTTTATCCGGTAATTTTTGAAGACTCGCATAGCACTGAACTGGAGTTTTAAGTTGGTGACAGCCAGAGAAATCGCGCCCATTGTATAAAGTACCCTGAGGGGCTCGTCATACTTCGCCGAGAAAAACCCAAAAAAACCCAAAAAGGCAAAAAGAAGCCCAAAAAGCCTGAAAGCGCCATAAAGAGCCGAAACGCAGAACTTTTGGTAGTATTCTGACATTATTTTGATGTGCAGACGATAGAAAATGAACCAAAAGACTCGGTGGCGAAATCAACACACGCCTTTGCGCCAAAACGTGCGCGCGGAAGGGGGCGTTCCGTCTCCTTCTGGCGCTTTTGGGCTTTTTTTGAGATTTTTTGAACGCTTTTGGGCTTTTTTTGAGATTTTTTGAACGCTTTTGGGCTTTTTTTGGGCTTTTCTCGGCGAAGTATGACGGGTCCCTGTTGTCGCTGCTTCATTTAAGATCTAGAGAGGCTGTAATAATTTATTTTATCCTGGCCATTAGTTCATTTTCTCGCCTCAAAAAACGCTCACAGCTGCATCCCGATGGCGCTCTGCAGATAAGGAAGGCAAATTTGGAGTCAGCCTTCCAAGCTCTCATTAACGGCTTGCAGTTTGTAGAGTACTGCCACTTCAACTTCGTGACCTTCCCTTGTAAGAACCATTCGCTAGAGCACGCTTTAACTTCGATTTGTGGTACGCAGCATCATCCGCGCTTCATTACTGTAGAATTACGGTGAGAAATCAAAGAGCGTTGTTGAAAACCAATGCTGCGCTTTGTCGCGGAATGGATACACAATAAGCTGTAAACTTCATCATTAGGCTGATTTGATATGCTGATAATGAATATGAAGTTTCGAATTCAACTTAAGACTTTTTTCGTTAACTATGCCCTTATATGTATGCCGGGTAAGTCGCAGCAACGATTTGCAGTGTTTTTCAAAGATGTGACTAAATTATCTAAAACGCGTAAAAAAAATCTTATAAAGTTGTCTTGTATTTCAGCATGTTTGAAAACAACGCTACACAACTTTCCAACTTTTTGGAGCTTTTTTTCCTCAAACGGCCTATTTCACGATGGTGCTGTATGCTGGAAATTCTTACCGTAGTCCTACAGTAATAGAGAACGACGAGTGATTCGCATCATGCTGTATATCTTATATATAAAGCTGAATGTCTGTCTGTATGTATGTCTGTCTGTCTGTACGTATGTGCGGAATAGAAATTTTTATTTCTGAACCGATCGGGACCAAACTTGGCACACATATACTTCGGGGCAGGGAGCGTGTCATAGGCTACTTTTCGTTATCGATCGATATCGATTTTATCGATTTTTTGCAAAATTTGAATTTGCACCCCCCACGGGGGTGATCAGCATGTTCGATTACCCCCCTGTGCAAAATCCCAGCCCCCTAGCTCAAATTTTGCAAAAAATCGATAAAATCGATATCGATCGATAACGAAAAGTAGCCTATGACACGCTCCCTGCCCCGAAGTGTATGTGTGCAAAGTTTGGCCCCGGGCGGAGCCGGGTTTGCCATCTAGTATAATCATAAGTTGAAGCCTGCTCTACCGTGTGATAATGACGCTAAGCAAAAAAACTTGCTAGAAAGAGAGTTATTAACGATTAAAAGGTGTGTAAAGGCTGCTGCATGACGAAGGCGCATTATGCACAGATGCATTATTAGTTGAGCGGACGCGAACGCGGCTTCTTTAGCCGCAGAGCGCATTAGGCGCGGGATTTACAACGGTGAGAATACGCGCGCGCCGCGTTCGTGCCCGACCGACCTTCGCCATCGTCATGCAGCAGCGTTTACTCTTGGGACACCCTGTATACCTGAGAAAGAGCCAGAATGACTCTTTAGCACTCTCGCTCCAGAGTACTGTATCGCCAACGTGCAAAACCTCGGGCGAGCATAACTTGACAAGGCCAGGTAGTTTGTAAAACTGTAACAACAAGGAATGATGATGTAACTGTAAATCTTTGCAGAGCCAACCTCAGCTTCTTGGCGAAGAATCTCACGATCATAATTTTTTAAAGGCGGTTTGAAATGTTCAGCATCTCTAAGGTAGCTGAGGATCTTAAATGGAAAACTTCAAACATCATTGAAAAAAGAAGTGTATTATAAGTCAGAACTTTTGAAAAATGAACTGGATCTCTGTCAATGAACAACTCCTCCTCATTTCGATCAGCAACCAAATCGCAGAAAACCTTTAAGATGTTGATACTTTCGCTTCAATGACATTGGCAGAATAAAATCAATTCGGACTTACAGAATTATCAAATTTTGTAAAAGTGGAAACCAGCGTTTCAAAGACAGTTCCACCAACATTGATTTTCACCCGCTCAGGATGATGTTTGCCTTCTTCCATCTGTAATCATTTTTTGCGAAAGAAGAATTTATGAAGAGACTAATGAAGAAAATCAGACTGAAAGCCATTTGTTCATAATTTGCTTCCATGAATGAGAATATCCATTTTCAGGGCATTTGGCAGTTGAACTTATCAGACAAGTGAGCTATGCAGTTGATGTACAGCACAAGAATCTCCCCCTCTTCGCTTCTCTTCTATAATCTATATCTCGAAAAAAAAATCAAGAAGAGAGAGAGAGGGGCGGGTATACCCGTCCTCCAAAAATTCTTTGGGATACTTCTTGAGAACTTTTGTAGGCCCGTGACCCATAGATCTTAGAGAAAGGGGCGTGGTGAGGCTATGGCCGCAAGAAAAATTTTTTGTAAGGCCGATTTTGGACCTTTGAAAATTTTGACAACGCGACGCGCCGTCCTCCTCCCCCCCCCCCCCATTAATGTTAATGTTCTGCTCTTTCCGGACAACTTGTCGAGACGCAGACTAATTAGAGTCCGACACTCCCCTCGCCGATTGGGCGGTGCCACCAACTTCAGATGAGCTGGCACTCCCCGGGTGCACGGTGGTCCCCTCCCCAACTATGTTCCCCCACTTTGAATCTATAATGTCATAACGATAAAGAATCTAGTCAAGAACTGTTATGTTAGTGCAAAGGAAAGAAACTAAGGGCCGCATGCACTAACATTTCCGCTGGGGAGGGGATCGCAGCTTCAGAAGAAAGCTTCATATCCTGAAGCTCCGGATATCTGGATTTCACGCTGTCTACCTGTCCGTAAGTTCTCCCACCATCCTTCACTATGAACATATTGAGCAGAAGCGAGAAGCTGTACAAGCCGCATTTCCCAGCTTTTTGTAGGATCCCCCGATGATCCCTGGGGGACGAACATCTATTCTTCAAAGTCATTTTTCTTTCTCCGAAGTTAACGAAAACCTTCCAAACTTATACTGAACATCTAACACAACAGTGCTAAGCACGTTGCTGATGAGAACAAATGAATTTTTGAAAAATCGAATTTTTCGCTATACCCCAAATTTCGACCTGTGGATCATCGAAAATTTCATGACTTCAAAACATCATTTGTTCTTATCAGCAACATGCTTAGCACTGTTGGGTTAGATATTCTGCACAACTTTGGAAACTTTTCGTTAACTTTGAAGAAAGAAAAATGACTTCAAAGAAAAGCGTCGGGGATCGTCAGGGTTAATACAAAAGCTAGAAAATGCAGTTCGTACAGCTTCTCACTCCTGTTCAATATGTTCATAGTGAAGGATAGTAGGAATACTTACGGATAGATACATAACGTGAAATCCAAGTATCTGGAGTTTCGAAATATGAAGTTTTCTTTTAAGCTGCGATCCCCTCCCCGCGGCCATGTTAGTGCATGCGGCCCTAAGGGTAGAGGGATCAAGTTGAGAGAATAGCTAACTCTTCAAACTTGACAAACTTTCCTCTATCAAACTTCCTTTTTCCAACCAATTTCGCAGAACATCTGTAGTTATCTTGGGGTACTTTTTTCACAGTGGTTCAAAAATACTTCTGGTCTGATCTGCTGAAATTAAACAAAAACTTAAGCACGCGCACACAAAACAGAAATTTCACTGCGAGAATTTAGATGGAAAAATGATCGTTTTTTTTTCTGAAAACATAGCCATCATATGTGAGAGGTGTTGTCTACTTATTGCACACTTAGTCATATTTTTCAAATTTATTTAGACTAAGAAATCGACTACCCAAAGCGGATATTCGCTGTGGCACTCTTTGACCTAAAATTTTTCCCAAAAAGAGCAAATGTCAAAGCTTCGTAACGTTCTGTAAGCGTAACAGTAGGGCTCGTTGTCGATATCTTTTGCAAAAAACTCTATTCATACTTAAGCAATTGAAATTTTCATAATACTGTCAAGCGTTCCACAGTCAGACTCAAAAAAGATAGTTATTCCAAATTTTTCACTTTTTTTCATAGTAGAGTGTGAAAAAGAGAATTTTCTTAATTAATAGTTCTCCTCCCGTTGGTCATACCTGTACAAGCAAAGTCATAGCTTTTCAATCAAAAGCGAGAAGTGATTTCTTGATGACGAAACTGTACAAGATTGATTAAATAATTTTTTTACTACGTTCTAGGAAGAATTTCAAACATTTGATGATTTTGTGACAGCTAGTTTGTGAGTTCATGGCTTTTTTATAAAGGTAATATGATTCTTCTCAGTTTTCTTTGATCATGCACGGCAAAACATTCTGTGGGTTATCAAAAACACTTTAAAGAATTCTACTCCATATTATCCTGCTAGATCTGTAGTATTCTACCTTTAGAAGAATAGTCCGTCGCTACTTCACCTTCTCAGACATTTGCATCGGAAAGTTCGCGGCCTCAAAGCGTGCTACACGGGGCGCCGCGGCCCTTAAATTTTCAGCCGCGCACGCCGGGGCCCATGTATATTTTACCGGGAACGCCGCGGCCAAAGTTAAAATTGGATAGAGCTTATCGGGAGAGTCGCGGCCCAACCACCTCACTCGGCGTGCCGCGGGTCTTATCAAAGGTCGCACTTCTTGCACGCTGTAGCTTAAGGCGCAACCAGCGTGAGGTACGCCGCAGCGATGCGGCTACCCTAAGTGTTTGCGAGGGTGGTTATCGCTTCTCGGGTTGGATTGTGTGACAGTTGAGTTTATATGCTCACGAAAGGAAGCTCAGCAATCGGTTGAGTGTTATCGACGACAGTATATGATGTCGACAGATGAGCTAACAAGTTGCTCAATTTGTACTCAGTCGTTGTCATGAAAGATAGGCCAAAATTTTTTCACTCTTCCTAGGCCTCCCAAGCATGCTAATCGGGTCAACTATCGGGCGCTTACAGGATGCGCCGCGGTCACTTACCGGGTCCAATATCGGTTTATACCGGGCAGCTCGCGGCATGGATGATTGGTGGCCGAGCAAGCACCCGCGAACTTCCCGATGCAATTGTCTGAGTTAGTTGACCCGGAAAACACAGATTTAGCTGTAACTTCGTCTAACGGATTTATTTTGCACGTTGATTACGAATATCTCACTTATTTCACATGGTAGTGCCATCCTATGGAGTTACGGTAGGATTACGGTAGGGGTCAAGATCTCGGATTTGCCCCGAACTCCATCTGGGGGGGGGGGGGGGGTATTTGGCAAGCTAAACATCAATACCATATTCATTTTGTATGGTAGCGTCATTTTTTCCGGTCAGGTGGGTATACGGTAAATGGCTAAGAATCCCCAAACTTGCTCAAAACTTTGCGTGAAGGGGATCTTCAACATGCTGATTGCAACTATCATGCTCGTTCGCTGCAACAATGCCTTATTCTCTAAAATGAGCTACAGTGCGTGAAAGAACAGCTTTTCCGCTTTCCAGCCAAATTTAGATCCCAAAAATCCACGAAAAGGCTTCATTGTGCGAGGCGAGTATCGTGATCAGCTTGTCAGATAACACTCCTACACAAAGGTTCAAGCAGATCTATCACTTTAACCATCTACCGTACACCCTCGTAATTCCGCGAAAAAGTTCCAAAACGCAAAAAGAGCATGATATTGTAATCACCATGCTTATTAACTCCTACAGGCAAAGTTTGGAGCAAGTTTGGGATTTCTAGCCTACCGCATACCTACCGTAACCAGAGAAAATGGAACTACGGTACGAGAATATAATTTTCATGTACATCGTGCCAAATATCCCCCCTCGACGAAGTTTGGGGCAAAGCCGTTCTGACCCGCTACCGTAATCCTACCGTAACTTAACTTCACGAACGACACTACCATGGAATTGAAAGTGACATTTTCAGCGTGCAAAATAACAACGTAGACAAAGTTTTGGCGGAATCTGAGGCTTTCAGTTTTTGGATCAATAACTGAATAATGCGACTTCAATAAACGATTACCAATCTCGGCTGTATGACTTAAGAAGAAAGAACAAAATTTGGAATATTTTACAAATGCAATGTGATTCTTCCGAATTTTTCTTTTGGATTATCCGCGGCGAAACGTAATTTGGCCTAGGAAAACCACTTTAAAGAATTTTGCTGCATACTTTCCTGCTAAATCTGTACTAATCTACCCTCAACTGCAGCGATTCCCAACATGTATTCACCCAACCATCTTAGCGCAAGAATGCAAGGAGAATTCTCAGTTTGACACCAAAAATCCCCAAGCTGCTGACCAAACAACCCTCATTCCTCATTAACAGATAACCGGCGCTAAAATGAACGAATTACCACACCCTCAGTGTGATCACTACAGCACGAAAGAGGGACTGGAAAAGTCGAAAAAGCTTTTTTTAAGCCAGCTTATTGACGCTCACATTACGGGCGTTTTCAGTACAGTATCCTCTAGAGCGTGCAAAACAAGTGGTCCGATCGCTCCTCCTTTACTTTTTATCTCATTTCTGCTGAGGAGTTTAAAACTCCTTTAAAGCTATAATGGATATATTCTGAGAACGGAATTGCTAAGTTCGTGTTTCTTCTGTAAAATTCAAGGATTCTTTTGTACATTGTCATCTGTTTATTGAAAGTATGGAATCCGGCTTTTTTAACCTACGGTGGTTTCGCGTCAGTTAGTGGTAAGTGATATAGAATTGCAGGTAGGTACTACTAACATCTATTGGAGTCCTCTCGGCTAATGAGACATCACACTTCCACAGTAACGCCAAGGAAAGGACGAAGGCGCACGACGGCGCACAAAGGCGGACGAAGGCGGACGAAGCCGCACAAAGGCGGACGAAGGCGCACGAAGGCGGACGAAGGCGGACGAAGCCGCACAGAAACGGACGAAGGTCCCGTATGTTTGTGTTCATTATCGATCGAATGGGAAAACAAGGCATCCGTGCGCCTTCGTCCGCCTTTGTGCGCGGTCTGAACGATCCCGCTGCGCTGCGCTTTTGAAGAAGTCTGGCCGGGCCTAAGCGTAAAGACAAAGATTCAAAAATCAACAATTGGATAGGAAGAACTAAGCATATGATAATTACTTATCTAGTCCAGGTTTATTCACTCT